ATATCACTCCTCAGGTAATTCAGACTGGCTTTACTAGATGCTGTACTGTACATGTTATGTTCACAGCCTAATACAAGCCGTATTGCTCAGTTCTGATTCTTTGCTGAAATCTGATCTTTCTGTCTTGATTTACATTCATGTTTGTATGTGACCAAAAGTTGTATGCAAAAGTTTGGGCACCCCGGTCATGTTTGGTTGATTTTCTATGTGAAAATAAGTCCACATTCTTTACAGTCTTCTGCACAATTAGCGTTTTCTGCTGAATTTAACATTTTTTTTATATGTTTATTTTCCTTCAATATGTTAAACTTGGTAAATAAATAGAAATTGTGCTCTAAAATTTGCAGAAAATTTGCATATTTACATTTGTTCTCTGTAGTGGATTTGTCAACTTATTTTCACTTAATCAAAAAATCTTAAAATCAACGAAACATATAATTTGATAACATATAACATATAAAACATATAATCAAGGATATTTTTGCATACGGCTGTATATTATCAAGTAGGTCGCCGTTTACATGCTGTCAGCACTGGATGATGACCTCAGTGAATAATGACGTTACAAGGAAAAAGTTTACTAAGTTTTTACTTTAGAAAAAAGTCTCATTACAGCCGTGTGGCTGCACATTGGATGTGTGTCCAGTCTAGGACCACATATGTAAGAGGCTTAAATCTGAATCGAAAGGATCAGATTTTTATATTCATACAGCTCTGAGCAAACAAATAAATAGATACAATGTTTAATTTATATAGCATATTTCTCAAGATGAAGGTCACAAAATCAACCAAATCTGTAAAAAATCAGATCTGTGTCACGATAAGGCAAAATATCAGATTTGCGCCACTTTAATCCTGTAAAGTGAAGTGATGTTATGACTGATAGCTGTGTTTGTGTGCTTCAGCTCTATCCATCCATGCTGATCACTGCTTATTCAGGTGACAGCAGAGTGCCTCTGTCAGGGGTGAAGAAGTATGTGGAGAGACTCAGTAAGGCCATCCAAACCCACACCAGCAGCCTCTGTACTAAAGGTTAGTCCTCACCTTCTCCTATCAAAATGATGTTCTGATTCATTCAGTGATTATTCAGCTTTAATACTGATATGAAAGAACACTATAAACATAAGCGCTATTTAGGTCTATATAATACCAAAAGTGTCTTTCTTCAGGACCACAGGTTCTGGTATGGACTCAACACCGGTCAGGTGTCTGATATTGCTCCAGCATTTAGATGTAGACTGTGCTCATGCAAGACTAGTGACCTTACTGTTGTCCATTTATTTGTAGCCCCTAACACATAATTCACAAGCACTACTTTGGCTATAACTTCTATTCATCATCATCATCACCATTCTTCTTTTTCTTCTTCTTCTTCTTCTTCTTAGTATTATTATTATTGTTATTATTATTATTATTATTATTATTATTACTGTTATCAAGAGGAAAGAGGTCGGCTCTGTATTGTTGATAGGACAGCAAGAAGAATTGAATGAATGGAGTATTGGTGTATGATGTACACTAAATCATTTGTCATAGTTGTTATTTTAGATACAGTAAGTTATGCAGTGTACTTTAAAGGTCCCATATTATGGAAAAACAAATTTTCCTCACTTTTCTGGAACAAAGAGTATGATGTAGTATGTACACTCTGTCACAGCTTCAAAACTTCTGTTTCATTCCCCAGTTCATACAGTCCATATATAGAAATTAAGTTACAAAAACACTCATTCAGTCTGCAACATTTTAACCCCATCCATTCACACTGAAGTTGTAAGGAGTGTTTAAGCCCGCACTGCTTTTTGAATGGGGCAGGGCAGCCAGCAAGAACAGAGCTCATTTACATATCGCTGCTGTCGAAAAAAAACATGTATCTCCATTTTTGTCGTTTCTCAGTTTTTGATATAATTTGAAAATGCCTGTTGGCCTTTATGTTGTGTGTAAATGTCATGATAAATGGACCAAAAGCATTGACCCAGAATTACTTGGAAAAACGTCCATTGACTTACATTAAAAGTGAGGTAGGTTTTTTCCTTTTCCTTTACCATTTTGGAGATATGAGGTTTTATTCCAGTGATATATCAGTATTAATGGTACAGTAACAAAAACAGCCTGTTTAATTGTAAGGAATACATATAAGTTAAAATGGTCATGTAAAAAGGAATCATGACTGTTTTTGATACATAAAACCACACAAATGTCATAAATGGACCTCAGCAGGTAAAATAAAATGCAATAAAATTGTTGGATGTCCCATTCAATATTATGAACTACACACTGAAATGTATGCTTTAGTTGTTTTATTCAGTATTTAATGTATTTTGGAAACAAAAAGTTGTTGTTAAATGATAAATAGCTTATTTTAGGATTCTTCGTCTGGTCAACTGTCTTTAATTTTACTGCTATTCTTTCTCAGCCTTTTTAATATAATCTGCGGCTTCTTTCATTGTTTTATTAAGCTTCCTATTAGTGATTTGAAACCTGTGAAGTTGAACAGGACTGGCATATTAGAATAATTTTATACATATATCTGCAACCATATTGGAAAACATTGAACCCAAGAAGTGGCAGCGTAAATGAACCTGGAGGTCACTGGCTGTAATCCTGGCCCCTTAAAAATCAACCGGTGGGATTTAGGAGAAGCCCTTCTGTCATCTCCTCTGGAGAGGAGGGCTCAGATGTGAAAACGGGCGATTTATTAGCAGCCTCTTCTCCATATCAAGCGGAGGTCACCTTGTGTGTGAGCTGCAGTGTGAGATATGGTGTCAGCACATCCCAGCCCAGACCCCCTCAGCGTGCCAATCCCTCTCCCTCTCTGTGGCTCGTTAATTAACACCACACACACACTTAGATGTGCACCAAAAGAAAGTCTCCCCCCTCTAATCTCTTGCTCTCCCTCTTTGGGAGATAAAATGCTGATCACACACGCCGGCAGCTGGGGGTGATTAGCATGTTTATAAGATAGCGTATCAGGCTGAGAGATAAGGAACAATACACCGGGCCGAGCCAAGGTCAGGAGGAGGCTTGTGAAACACACGGCCCAAAGAGAGGCAGCCTGATAGAGGGAGACACCGGCAGCCACACTGCCGATAACAGGCAGGAGACGGAAGAGTTTTCAGGATTAGCTGTGTGATATTTGCACACTGCTGCTCTTATAAAACAGTGGGGCCTGAACGTGGAGTGGTGATCTGCAAACTAGGTTTAAGTTCTTGATGTACCGAGCAGCGTGGGAGAGCACCAGTATCTTTTAGGATTAGGCTGCTTGCTGTCTCATTGGCTTCAGACTCTTAAAGGTCCCTACATGGCGCTTAGCTTGGATATACAGTTCTAGACCTCAGCTCATTTTCCCTCTTCTAACAATCTGAATTTGCCTCAAGTAGTTTTTGCTAACTAGCTGATGAGTTGGAGAAACCTCAAAGTTACCATTTGTGGAGCTTTAATGTGGCCACTCACTTTGTCACCAAGACCCACTTTATATCAATAGCTATTGCTGCTGTGAACATTATGGATGCGACAATATAGGAATTTGTCGGCTAATGCCGATGTCCAGTGGTCTCCATGTACATATCTGCCGATGTTGATACATAAATATTTATAAAATGTAGGAATTTGGAATTAATTAGCATCTGGGTTAGCATTACAGAGAGGAATCAGAAGTACAAGATTTATTTTGGTAGAGTTACAGATGCACTAAAATGCAGTCATGCAACATTTGGAAGTCCATGGTTAAATGACCTGTTTTGTTGACTATTGTAGTGAAAATAAGCTAACACGTCCTCTAGAGAACACACTTCTACACATTTGCAGTGTATTTGCATTTAAAATATTGAAATTGTTAAAAAATAAAATGTGGCAAAAGTTCTGGCATATTTTATATCCTGTTTAAAAAAATTCAAAATTAAATATTTTGCATTAAAATTCACAGAAAAAAGCCATGTTTAAGCGTGTTCTCTGTAGTAGGATGTGGCTAATTTTCACATCCTACTACAGAAAATCACAAAATGTTATTTGACCAGGGGGGGTTTTGCATACGACTGTAAGTAAAATGCAGCCTAAAAGTCCTCCTCTTTTAGAATACCTAAATACACCATCAAATCACAATTTGAAATATTGACCAAATCTATCCAAAGCTGTTTTTAAAGCAATTATCTGTCAATACCAATATGATCGTGATGTCATCGTGCATCTGTTGAACAAATGTTTCTGATCGACGGTGATTCTGACTTTGTGTTAATGTCACTATCTTGTTAATTTGTTTGTGGTGTTAATTTGTTCTCTCACTTGCTTTCCCATCAGGACACATCCCAACTATCTTGCTGGACCTTCAGCCAGGGGGTGATCACTTTGGCCCAGAAGACTTTGACCAGTCTCTGAGTGAGGTGAGTTACGACCACCCTCTGTCTGCTTTTAAATGCAGTTATTGTTTAATGTCCATCTCTTTCAGAACGTGTTAATAAGGTAACTTGTGTTATTCTTTCCTGTGAATGATTCATTTGAAATAATCTCCCCAAAGGTCTCTTCTATATATCACAATTTGTGGTTCACTTATCAAACCTGGAACATATTATTATGTAAAGCGATAATGAAGCCACATAGTTGTAATCATTCTGTGACTTGGACGGTTTATAAAGAGTCTGTCATGGCCACGTGTAAGGCAGTAAGTCATAAAGCCTGTGCGCTGGTCAGCAGTGAGGTGTTATGTCAGTACTAGGAAACCAAGGTACAGATTTATGATTTTACATAAGAGCTCATACACAGAGCTCAATGTTCACGTTCTTTCTAATTTAGTTAATGTATCTGGGCAAATAACGTTTACAGTCCTCCATGTCATGTGAATTCTTTTGTCTTTCAGAGTGCTCGACAGGTAGCCTTTCTCTACACAACGCTGGGACTGGACTACAAAGGATCCCGACAGAAAACGACAGGACGAAGAAAAAAAAATAAACCATAGAGACCTTATCATCGACACCTGTGGAACCTCTTTTTTTCATAAAGAGCAAGAATTTAAATTGAATGTATCTGCAGTTTTATTAAAAGGAAAAGCATTTTCATTGTATTTTAAGCAAAAATAAATGAGACATGTGCTTTAACATGTGGTAGACACTGCATTCTCAGCACTTGTACAGAATATCCAGAGCACTCAGGTAGCAGGCCTTCTCAGAAACATAACACTGAGATGAATGGCCAGTATGAAACCGCTGACTGGTGGAGTATTCCAACAGCAATCCCTGCCCCTTTGAGGTTCTGATTCTGGCTTTCTGGAAGCTGCTCGGAGTGTCGGGGAGTGTACTGATGCGAACACTGAGCTGATCTGGCAGCTCAGTAATGGCAGAGAGGTCTGTTTCTGAATCTTCACCAAAATTTAGGACCACCAGGAAGGCCCGGTTCAGTCCATCCAGCTCACGCAAGAAGGCAAACACATTAGCATCTTCCCAGATGTAGCAAAGCCATCCTCGAAGCAGCACTACGTCCTTTTCTCTGAGCAGATTCAAAGCTCTGTACAGCTCCAGCACAGACAACGGGTCACCCTGCTGAACCTGCAGACCAACACACATGCATGATTTTAATGGATTTTTCCATCACAAGCCTCATGTTCATCTACAGAATACTAAGATATTCTGGTACTGATTCCACTAATACAAAGAAGATACAAGTAGGGAGTTGGAAGGTCATACCTCTACATTGACGGTTTGGTAGTTTGGACCTATGTCCAACCAGGTGCCATTCTGACTGTCACTAAAGCCAGCATTGAGTTGACCATTCCACTGCATGGGTGTTCTCTGAGGATCCCGGCTGTTGTTCTAAACAAGAACAAAGTGACATGCTTACATGTTTTTAAGTAAGGACAAGGGATGCAGCAAAATTTTGTCTGCAAAGAGCCAAAAAATGTTTGTTTTTTTACCATAAAGGCAAAAATGCTGCATATTTTGAGTGAAAAAGACTTATACTTGATAAGTTATTACTTTTTCAGCATTAGGAAAAAAAGCAAAAAACATAACAGAAAATTACACAGACACCTCAACAGGTAAATATAACATCACTTTTCCAGTGTTTAATGTCCTCTCTTTGCCTTTATTACAGCTTAGATTCAATTCAGTGTTTTATTGTAGCTTTTCTTCTTTTTTGTCTATTTCCTTTTCTCAGTAAGGGCTTCTTGTCAGCTACACATCCTTTCAGACTCATACCACTGAGTTGTCTTCTCATAGTGGAAGGATGGACAGAAACACCTGGGGATTTTTTCAGACGTGAAGCAAAAGTGCAGCTTTGATATCTGAAACACGAAGGCTTTCAGTACTGTTTATCTAATGGGGTCACCAGGTCTTGAGGAGTCCCATTTTCATTTAATAATGGGCCTTATTTTCATTGGGCCTTATGCAAGTGGAATATATTATATCTAATTTTCTTAGAAATGATTCCTTTAGCCATTTTAGATGAACATGATAAAGAAATTTGAAGGCAGCTAATGCGAGTTTGCGTAGTTGCTTGTGTGAATGTTAGTGTGTATTTGAAGGGGAACATAATGTCATATTGGAACATATTTAGTTGGGAGGATAGAAGTGGCAGTAGGTGCACAAAAGTACTGGACAAATTAAATAATGATATATCTAAATAAATAAACAAAAAAATGTTAATTAAATAACTAAATTTGTAGTCTCTGACTTTTGCACAGTGTGTAAATTAGAAATAGTGTTTAAAAATATGATGTTTCATTTGCTCCCCTGCATCAACTTTAAGTTCTATCAAATTTAACCCCAAACCTAACCTGAACCTTAACTTCAATCCAAAGCATAAAGCTAATCTTAATCCTAAATGTAACCCTAACTCTGCTGATTATCAACTAAGTTTCACTAAATAGTTTTTTTAATAATTTCAGCATCTGTGAATAATGTATAGGGGACTCTCAAAATATGACCACTACATTAAGATCATTTTTCTAGTGCTATAAAAAGGCACTTGGTTGTCAGGTTCAGGTTTTGGCCCAACGCATCCGTCCAGGGTTTAGGTTTTGTCCAAGAACCTTCATTTCAGTGCATGACTAAGAAGGGCAATGGGAAATGCAGAGATCATAGACAATGACTTCTAAGGCCTCACTTACTGGGTCGAACTTTCCAAAAGGATCCTGAGTAACAGAGACGTTGACGTTTTCCATGCCAATCTCCTCTCCGTAGTATGTAGTTGGCGTTCCAGGCAGTGTTAACAGCAGCATATTGATAGCCCTGACATATTCCTGACCAGTTCTGGAGCTCATGCGTGGCTTATCATGGTTTCCCACCTGCACAGAAATTTCACAAGTAAAGCAAGATGATGCATCTAATGCAGGGGCTCCAGAATTACTGACACCCTTGGTAAAGACAAACACTAAAAGCCACGGTTGTTTATCAGAGGTTGCATTGATTTTGGAAGGCACGCTGTTGTAGTAGCGCATCTTCATGATTACATGGGAAAAGTGAGCTCTGTGTTCAGATGACAGTTCTACAGTTACATCTGGCAACTCACCACCCAGTTTGGCCATTTCCCTGTAGGCATGTTTGACATCCACAGCTCCACTAGTTCCTTGGCTCTGACTCCAGACAGACCATCAGGGAGATCCAGCAGATAGAAGTTAAAGGGGATGTCAGCCTCTTTGACAAAAGGGGTTCCATAGTACATCATGGTCTTTTCAATTTCTTCATAGTCGTAACACTCTGTCACCATGAACCTGGTTTAGGAGAGGACCCAAAATGTTATTTATCCTAAAAACGCAAAGAATATTTTACACGGGATAGACTTCAGGAAAAAAGAACAAAGAATACCGGTAACGTCCTGGTTCCCTGCTGTATTCATCCAGGACCACTCTCCAGCCCCGGAGGATGTCGTGCAGACCCACTTGAGTGTATGTGTAGTCGTGGTACAGCTCAAACTCCGTGTTCACAGTCTCCTGTACAGTAAACCATGCAGGGAAACGTAACATTACTAAGAGGTGCCTGGAAAGCACAATGCAAATCATCAGAATATTAACACCTGTCTTTGTATATTTTAACCCTTAGCAGTCACCATTATCGCAGTTATAGTCAGAAATGTTTTAACACACCCAGGTAAATGGCATGCTTTGTTGATTTCCTGAGTGAAAAGAAGTTAACACATCCTCTACAGAGAACTCGCCTAACTATGGCATTTACCTACAAATTAGAGCACAATTAGTATTTATTTATTTAAAGATAATTTAGAACTACAAAATGTACACAGCCCACATCTTATGTTTTATTTTTTCCCCAATATGTTAAATTCAACAAATACACTGTAATTGTGCATTAAAATGTACAGAAGTGTGTTCTCTGTAGAGGATGTGTTAATTTGTTTTCAGTTAGAAAAACAACAAAATGTAGTTAGACCAGGGGTGCTCAAACTTGTGCATACACACCACAAGAATCAAGTAATTAGATTATATTTTTTACTCATAGCTCATTAAAACCAGAAGAGAAATGTTAGCTAATTAGTATTTGTAAGTAGAAAAGATGATTTATTAAGATTTAATTTGGATTAAACGTTAGACCATATGGTCTTGTTACTGTGGAAAGAAAAAACTAATTCTTTACATTTTGCCATGTTTGTTATTTGTTGACATAAAAAAAACCAAACAATAATTACATGGCACTCCAACTTGTTGAGGTCATTCATAATAATAATAATAATAATTTTTATTATTATTATTATTATTATGTGTAGATGGGAGCATTATACCTGAATAACCATTGTTAGCTATTTAGAATCTTTTCAGGTGCTTATACAAAGAATGCTCATAGGGAGAGTCCGAGGTCATTGAGGGTCTGGTCACCACCATGTGTTTGCTGCTCAGGTCCTTTTTCTTTTGTAACCGTGCAGCATTAGGATAATTGGAGTGACTGGCTGGTAAAATCCAGGGAAATATGCACCAGTAATCTCCAAACCACGCTGAGAACAAAGTCCCATACATGCACTCTGAAAATATTTCAGACTCTTTAAAATGGTAATACAATCATGTTTCCAACAGAAAGACCACATTTTTACATAATGGACTTTACAAATATACTTAGAAGAAGGAACCAATAAAGAAAAAAGCCTATTAAGCGAATGTCTAACAGATTGTGCATGGGTGAAACATTATACAGCTACAGTTTTCAGAGCTTAATAATGTTCATCTACAAACTCAAAACTGTACTTAAACTGAGTCTGTGTCCAGAGAAAGGTCCAGGCTTGGTCTGGATCTGATTAAATGTAGTACATGACCCTTGATCTGCACTGTACAAGATGTAGTGACTCACAGGTGGCTGGTTAGGGTCAACTTGGGGTTCATTCCTTAAATGCGTAGCTTCAAGCATGTGCTTGACAGCATCCATGCGGAAGCCATCCACCCCCTTCTTCAACCAGAAATGGATTACGTCCTGTTAGAGAGAAGCAATATCGTGATCAAAGATTATTAATAATAGCATTAATAATTGGAAATAATATTTTCACCAAAAAAAGTGTGCATCATTGACATCTATCAAGAGAAATCCATGCACAATACCAGCACTTATATGTTGTAAATGCTGACAGAGGAACCTTTTATGTAGGCACTGGAAGCCATAGTTGATGTGCATGACAGCATCTCCTCTCTGCTGCTCATTCACAATTACGCGTCTACTAATCAATTTAGATTTGAATCTCTCAGGGAGCAGAGGCCAGGCTAAAATGTCCTCAAAACCCTGTATCATCTCTGAATGCACTATGAACGCCTGGCAGCTGTGATGCTTATATCTGTCTGAAATGTAGAGGTGGGTCAAGTGTCCAGTTATAAGTCGTACACTTGACCCTCCTTGTGCTGGGCGCCTTTGAGAAGTTTGGCAGGTGCTGATGTCAAGCTCAGGCAGTGGGCACAATGCCCAGGTGAGCCACTGTATGCCAGCGAGCCAGATAAAGAGGCTACTGTGACTCGCCCCCACTTAAAATGCACCTGGGAAGATCGCAGCCTGCAGGGTATTACACAACACACACTCGTCCATTCATCCTCCCACTGCGTGATGTTGCCAGCTCTCTCGCTCACTCTGTCACCTTGTCTTTCTCACTTTCAGAACCTCATAATGCCATCTTCAATCATCTCCCCCTCATGTTCAGCATCCTACACTGATTACGCCCTCACAGTACACCGAAAAGGGAGTGTTACATATTCTTTTGTCTGCTGTTAACAGCATGGAGGCTGGAGTGCTGATATTTTTATGCCCTGAGTTGTCAGTCTATTAGACGTAACTACCTTATATCTAGACTCACTGGCCATTTAACCAGGTAGGGGAGAGCACAACTCAACCTAACATGTTGGTTTTTGCTAAATAACTGTAAAAGTATCTGAGCACAACTAAGAATTTTAATACAAACAACTTACATCTCTGCTGTGAATCAAAACCTAACTTGTTCTTAGCACCTACCTTTTATGAACAATTCAGCCGAAAGAGGCATGAGTGCAAATTTAACGACTAACCCAAAAAGTGTCGCTTATTGTAACACACTGAGGGGCTAGTTGGTACAGTCACTACACAAACTGGTAAATCAATGCAAAACACAGTTATTCAATATGATTTCATGTTGTTTGAACTAGACAATCTTTTCATCCTAAATGCATAAAAATATATTCATCAAAATAAATATAATTAATAAATGTCAATGTGCCAAATGTATTTTTGACCACAAAGTAGAAGAGCTAATATCAGAACAATAAAACTAAAATATATTTTATTTACATGACATCTACGGTACATTTTTGATTAGTCTGCGCATAAAAATGTCCAAAAAATTGATGGTGCCTCACTCTCCTATAATCCCACCATATATACAGTTACTAAGTGTAGCCCATCTGTTACGCACAATTCATCAGCCACCATCTTCTCTGCTCTTTAATCGAAAATGACCATGATAGGACCTCTGCTGAATAGATGTTGTTTTAGTGGTTGATTCAGATATTTGAAGGTGCACCAACAAGGCAGGTGTCTCTAATAAAGTGGACAGAAAGTGCACACTTAATGACTCCAGAAACACTGTTGCACCCTCTAACATTCCACAACTTTGTCAGTATCACTACTATGTTGAGGATCGCCCATCTCCCAAATGATATATGGTAAGTGGTGGTCCTGTGGTGGTCCCTTTCCACAAATGGACGTGGCTGAAAAGTTGCGGGGCAACAGAGGACCTACAGTCCATAATTTTAAACCTACAAAGTGCATCTATACACAATCAAATGATCAAACAGTATGGATATAAGGCTGGTGTACCTAATAAACTGATAAGTGGTAAGTGTGGTCATGCTGGCCATGCTTTATGTGTGTATGTTTGATTACCGTCATCTCCTTTACAACATCGGGGTTGCGGAAGTTGAGATCTGGTTGCTCTTTGAGGAACTGATGGAAGTAGCACTGTCCTCTCTCTGGGTCATATGTCCAGGTGGAGTTCCCAAACACACTCACCTAAAAAAGGATTGAACATTGAAACAAGAGTGCAACTTTGCTATTAAGTTGTCCATGCAAAGACAGCTAAACTGTAGCTTCCATAGGACAGAAAATTGATTATGTAAAATGGGTGGGCAATATATCAATACTTATCATTGTTGTGATGAATTATGTCACATCTAGGCAAACTGTGGGTATCATCAATACTTAAAAGAGAATTCCACCAAGAATTTCTGCACAATTCGACTGTTGAGATGTAAACAAAGTAATTCAGAGTAGTTTAATGTGAAACAGTACATTTTAAAGAAGCCCACAGACTCTGACTTCTTTACAGTGGCAATGATAGGAACCAGCGGTCGCGATGTCTACTATGCAAAAAGTTTAATTACTATTCAAAACTGCCAGTGAACATGCACATATGTAATGTTCATAATGGTAAAATGGTTGTAAATCTAAAAACTCTTACCTCAAAGCTATCACAAACCAATGTCTCAGGCATCAGGCAGTGTATTCATAACCATTTTCTGTAACAGTTTCTCCATGCTAGCTTTTAGAAGCGTTAAACTCTTGAGGTGACTGGTTCTTCTCACCACCACTGTGAACAATTCTGACTCAACAAATTTCTCTAGAAAAAAGCATTCTGTCTGAAAACTCTCTGAATGACTTTGTTTACATCTTAACCATTTTATTATGCAGAAATTTTGAAAAAAAAAACAATGGTTCTCATTCATCTGTACCATCTCAGAAAAACAAAATATCATGATGCATAATGTATATCTTAAAAATGTCTAAACATATTATATTTTTGCCTTCTCGCTATATGAATCACAATATAAACCATATTTAAATAACTGGCACTATTCTGAAAAGACATGACATACTGGAACAAAATCAAATGTGTCAAAAAATTCTCAAACAGACAAAAATGAATAATGGTGAGAAAGATTTGTCTACCGATGTGTATGCATTTGGAGTGTGCACCATCATACCCAGTTGTTAGGCGGATGGCCCTCAGTGCAGTTCACCCAGATGTAAAAGTCAGAATAGTGATCTGTACGGTTACGGCTGAGCTGGAACCAGACGTGTTTATCACTGGTGTGGTTGGGGATGTAGTCCATAATCAGTTTGATCCCTGAGACAAGTCACAAAATACAGCTGTAGAGAAAGCAGGAGAACTTGCCCTGGACTCAGCAGTCCATCAGACTGTAATATACCATTATAAAGAAGACATAAAGCTGTCAAACTGATTGATTTCAGTGATATTGATTTATCTGTCTCATTATGCTCACCCATGCTATGCATGCTCGCCAGGAGGTCATCAAAGTCTTCCATGGTTCCAAAGAGAGGATCGACAGCCCTGAAGTCTTCCACATCGTAGCCAAAGTCCTTCATTGGAGACTTGTAGAAAGGGCTGATCCATACGGCTTTGATGTTTAGGTACTGGAAATGACTCAGCTTTTCCTTGATACCTGAACACAAGCTTGTGTTAGCATACTGGCTCCTTCTGAAACACTCAGCAAGGCTGAGGTCATATTTAGACCCAATATTTTTAAAACCATCTTCTGAAGGCAACTGCTGCATGTGTATGATTACTTTTTTATTGGTGCACCAACCTCAGTTTTATTTGTTTAGTATCCAGGTTTGAAAGCATATCTTTATTGCTACTTTACACCTTCATAAAAGTCCATTTAGTGCATTTTATGGCACATGCAATCATAATTTTCTCCATTATCTAATGCCAGTGAAGGTAAGCAAGCTCGTCACTGGTGAAAAATGACAGATAATGGGCTGGAAATTGAATGGCATACTCCACATGCACATGTGGCCATTGATACAGACACCTGTTGCTCAACTTGAGCCACTTCAAGGTGGTGTTCACCTCAGACCACTTCAAGACAGACGTCTCTATGTATTCAGGTTACCATTTTCACAATAGAACTAATAATAATTGGTACAAAATCACAGATTACCTGGTCATCTGTGCACACTTTGAGATACATGTTTATTCATTTTTGTGTATTCTTTATGAATGGGCATATGAAAATACTGTAAATAGGCTCATACATTAAAAGACATGGAAGCCCCACAACATATAGTTACTGTTTTACACTCTAATCCATACTGACTAAAACAGGTCTCATAATACTGGCCCAGCAACCATACCCTGCTTGCAATGCAGCTTCATACAGCACCTCGCATTTTTAAAATGTATCCTTAAATATGGCTCATAAATCAGTTTTTCATTTTCTGTATTTTGGTTTTATCGTTATGTAATCACATAGCTTGGACAGGCTTGAAGAACAGAACATAAAATGGGCTTTTTTTCACTTGACTAATTATAGGCCTAAAAACATGCCTGTGACCAGGAAACAAACATCATAAAAATGTTTGGCTACCACAAACCACCCTAACTGCAGTGCATCTACAAAAAAAGTCTTGCTACTAATGGGAATGTCTGAATGTTGGCCTTTCCCAGTACTGTCTGTAATGGTGTTGGAGTCACATAAAAATACTGATATTTAATCAATGTTGATTGACAACGAGCATTATATCCATGATAACATACTATCTCAATAAAACAGCAGTATTCATGTTGCCGCTATGATAGACAGTGATAATGTAAGGCGCCTTATATACGAACAATATAAGAAAATAAAAAGAACAAACCATCCATCCATCCATCATCTAAACCGCTTATCCTTCTGGGTCACAGAAGAACAAACCAGTCCAACAAAACAAAGGTTGTCAGGTTTGTAAGCCAGTACTGGTATAGAGTACCAGCACTCAGGAGTGCATGGGTTCAATAACTTTGTTAATTCTCACTTAACCCCTTAAACAGCCAGGGCCAAGTTTTATTACACACTTTTATTACACACAGTTTGCAGTGAAGTCTCTGTAGTTACTGAATAATAAGCCTTAGAATGTAATAAACCTGGGAATTTAAGAGGTTAAACATCATCAGATATCACAATATGGTGACTTATTTAGAAAAGAGTATTTCTTTTTTTAGTTAATGTTTACACGACTAGTTAAAATTCACAGCTGACAAAACAGGGACCATTGTTCCTGTTATTGTTCAGACAGTCTGCCTTGGAGAAAACCACCTGACTGGAGCCCCACAGGTAACTTAGGTTTGAGGCCCCTGGGTAAGAACATCACCTAAATAGAGACCCCAGGTAATCTGAGGACCCCTGGGCTAGAAGACGACCTGAATAGTCACCCCAGGTCATTTGAGATCCCTGCCTTAGAACCCTACCTGAATAGTGACCCCAGGGAACTTGAGACCCCTGGCTTAGAACCCTACCTGAATAGTGACCCCAGGTAATTTGAGATCCCTGTGTTAGAACACTACCTAAACAGAGACCCCAGATAATATGAGATTGGGACCCCTGGGTTAGAAGACTACCTGTCTAGTGACTCCAGATCATTTGAGTTTGGGACCCCTGGGCTAGAACACTACCTGAGCTCCAGGTAATCTGAGACCCCTGTGCTAGAACACTACCTGAATAGTGACCCCAGGCAATTTGAGTTTGAGACCCCTGTGCTAGAACACTACTTGAATAGTGACCCCTGGTAATTTCAGTTTCAGACCCCTGGGCTAAAACACTACATGACTAGTCTGGCCAGTTAATTTGAGTCTGAGACCCCTGGACAAGTTGTCAATCTAGCCTGTTTTTGCATAATAATCATCAGTGTCACAGTTGCTGACCAGTGTTCTCGTGCCCCCGTCATGTTCAGTGTTATTTCATCTGCAAGAACGTGTGAGTGCAGAATCACCTTTGAGGTCTCCCACCCCGTCGGCATCGGAGTCCTTGAAGGAGCGCGGGTAAACCTGGTACACCGGGGTGGTCTGCCACCAGCTGAGGCACGGCGGAGAGAGCACGATGACCGTGATGGTGAGAGCCACCAGCGCCAGGGTGCAGGCCACGGTGAGCCAGAAGAGGATCTCGCGCGGCAGCCTGTAGCGCGCCTGACCTGAGTACAGCAGCAGCACTTCTTTGGGCATTCCCGCGTGCGGCCTGATCTGCGTGTAGCTCTCCTCCCCAGCCGGACAGCCCTCCATAGACACAGCCTGCTCCTGCCCCCGCCGGCTCGACTCCTCAGGCTGACTGTCCCCCTGAAAGGCCGAGTTTTCCACCCCTTCTTTCATCTCCAGCCCACTGCTCTGCTCGTCCTTCATCAGACTCATTCTGCCTCAGAACCTCACAGAGGAAACTCTGGCGCCTCACTGAAGCCTCACGCGCGAGCATGTGAGGCGACTCTGCACGAGGAGCGCTTTTATAGCGACATGGCCAGGTTCACAGTCCAGGGTTACTCCCTCTCCCTCTCCCTCTCCCTCCCTCACACACACAGCAGTGAAACAGGAGGGAGGTGAGGAATGACCACCGCACCGGTCCAACTTCGCCAGGTCTGTGGAGGTTTTCTATTAACGTTTGTGCTTCCAGCTAATCTAGTAAATCTCTGCTAGCAGACCTGAACCGAGCAGCCTGAAACCTCCCTCAAGTAAAAGTGTTCCAAACTCGAGTGCCTTAAAGGGGAACTCACCCATATTTCCGATATGTCTACATACTTAAATCGTTGAGATGTAAACAAAGTCATTCAGAGTGGTTTTGTGAAAAATGGTTCATTGTAAGGAACTTACCGACTCAGATTTCTTTACAGTCTTTACAGGGGGGGTAGGAACCAGGGGTCGCGGTTTCTACCGAAATATAGCCGTTTTGTTTACTTTCCAGTATGACCAGTGAACCTAAATGTGTCTTCTATGTTTTTATATGTAACGTTAAATGAAAAGTAGTTATAAAACCTATTGGGACTATTTGGCGTTACAACATCCTGCATGTACCTTTCCACCTTAAACAGCTTTTCGTCCAAAAGCTTATTTCAAAATAGCGTCTCGGGCATCAGGCAGTGCATTCATAACCATTTCATTTTAAAAACTGTCTGTAATGTAGCTTTTAGATTCATCACATTCTTCTGACGCCTGGTTCCTATCACCACCATTGTGCATAATTCTGACTCGGGAAGTTTATCTAGAACGGAGCATTCCACATCAAACCACTCTGAATGGCTTTGTTTACAATTCATCCAATGAATTATATTGACATTTTAAAAGCTCGGTGGACTTCCCCTTTAACTACCACAAAAGTTAATAAAGAACTGCAGGGACAGTGAGAGGTGTGAGCCAACAACAAAGCAGTCCAGGTGCTGAACTAACAGAAGAAAATGAAATTGACCTTTAAAAAAGGGATCTCAGTGACTGAAACTGAAATGAGGACAAACTAGATGTCTCACAAATATAGGTTACAAACATTAGAATTAACTCACACAAGATCCATCAAAATGTTACTCAGGTACATGTAACTGATTAAATGGAACTGGTCACTGTCCATCTGCTGTTTAGTCCTGTTCGTCTAACGTTTTTTTTTTCCTTCTTTTGATTGAGTGTCCAGTTTAAAGTGTAATTTTTTTTATTTGTGATTGTTCAGAAAATGTATTTATCTCAAAGAAGTTAAAAGATAAATGTAGGCTGCTGAAATAAACCATTGTACTGAACGCTGTACTAATTATTCTTCATATCAACCATGAACAGCCTACAGTGGAGTACGGTTTTCTGTGAAAACAGAAACAGTTGATTGCAACCTTAGTGTAAGACCAGTCCGGTGACCCAGCCCATGATCTCATATGATAAATAGTACCAAATCATACCCGTCACTACAGTACAAAAAAGTATGTGAACACTCCTTATAATTAGTGGGTTTGGCTATTTCAGCCACATTTATTGCTAACAAGTACATAAAATCAAGAAGAGAGCCATGCATTCTCCGTAGACCAACACTGGTAGTGGAATGTATTGTACTAAAGAACTGACTTTTGGACATGGCACTGTTACTGGATTCCACCTTTCCAACAAGTCTATCAAATTTCTGTCTGGCTAGAGCTGACCCAGTCAACTGTAAGTGCTGTTATTGTGAAGTGGAAACTACTCAGCCATCTTTCCTCAGTTGCAAACGCAACGGCAACACAAGAACTGTTGGGAAGAAGCCTCATCGACTGGATCTTGATAGCTGAGCAGCTGTGGACAAGCCTAGGTTCACCATATATGAAGTGTCACCGCATTGGAGCACAGCACACCACCAGTAGAAACAGGTGCTCTGGAGTGATGAATCACCATCTAGCAGTCTGACTGACGGACCCGGCTTTAGGAGGTGCCAGGAGAACGCTACCTGACCAAATGCATGGTGCCAACTGTAAAGTTTGCTGGAGGAGGAAGAATGGTCTGGGTTTTTCATGGTTTGGACCCCTTAATATGAGTGAAGGGAAATCTTAATGCTGCAGCATACAGTGATGTTCTAAAACTGTGTCCTTCCATCTTTGTGGTAAGACCCTTTTCCTGTTTAAGGTTTGCTGAGTAAGGTGTGGAAGAACTTGACTGGCATGCACAGAGCCCTGATCTCAACCCCATCTAACACCACTGGGATGAAATGTTATACTGACTGCGAGCCAGACAGAGCCTGATCTTACTAATGCTCTCGAGGCTGAACGTGCCACCACAGCCATGTTCTAAAATTTAGTGGAAATCCATCCCATAAGAGAGGAAGTTGTTATAGCAGCAAAGGGGGACAAATTCCATACAAATGCCCCTGATTTTGGAATGTGCTGGTGTCCACAGCCATGTGCTGTAACAATGTATTGTCATATATCCTATTTGAGGATATTCATAAAATCAATACAGTCTTGGAAGTGGGCTTGAGTTGCAGTAAGGTGCAGTATTGGTTTGCAAACCTTAAACAGGCCTTAATGTGGCGTTTACGAACAGCGGCGTCCTCCTTGGCAGCTTCCTTTCATTCTACCAAAAATCATGCAGCGCGTGTTATCCTGAGTAAACTTATCCGGTCACCACCTAACTTAGGGTAAAATGTAACATGGAATTTTTCAAGTGTAGTTTAACAAGTTCAAGTAAAACATGCTTTGGTCACGCTTTCATATTCCCACAGATACCTCATCCGCACATTTTGACAGGAAGTGGACAGATATTTCTTGAGATTAACCTTGAAGACTGTTTTGTACAATTAATTTTTTTACAAGTGGTTTTTCGATTAGTGAGTTAATATAAGAGTAAAATAAGTCACAGATTTCACACTTACATTATGTTAATCACCCCCTTCGTGCCTGCAATATGGCACCGCTATGAAGCATATAAGAGGTAGCCAGCTACCTAAAGTACAGCCTCCACATGTGATTTTCAAAGTTATTTTTTTGGAGCTTTTATGCCCAAATTTCCTGCAAACTGTAGGCTCAGCATTGTTCGACCACCACCAACAAACCCTCATTTTTAATGAATGTGCCATACCTGTTGCTGTACGCTGAAAAGTCTTTAGAAGGTTCTCTCTTATTTGTGCTACTGATGGTAAAGTGGAAAAGCATGAGAACTGTGATACCACCCTCAGCCTAATGGTTTAAAAGATTCTTCCACACAGTGGCAAAATATCAATTGGTAAAACCTAGTAAGCTTGATTTTGCCACCGATTAAAAATACCCTCATCTAATTACGTGTTCTGTTAGTTTTCTAAGTAAAAACACACATCCTCTACAGAGAACAGGGACGTTTAATGTTTTTTTCTACACATTTTTTCCATAACTTTCTTTCTTTGTAAAGGATATATACACACACACATACATACACTGCCCTCCACAAGCTTTATTTGAAGTATAATGATTAAAAGAAAAAACCTAAATCTTATCATGAAATAAATATTTTTCTCAAATGTATGTGCCACAATTGCAGGCACCCCTTCATTTAGTACTTTGTGAAGGCTCCCTTTACAAAGATAACAGCTCTGAGTCCCTTCCCATAATGCTTTAGGAGACTAGAGAACACAAGGTGAGAGATCTGAGACCATTGACCCATAAAGAATCTGGACTCTCCACCACTTCCCACAAGTTTCCTATAAAGTTCAGGTCACCGGACATGGGTGGCCATGACAAAAGTTTGATTCTGTGGTCACTAAACCATTTTTGTGTTGATTTTGAGGTGTGGTTTGAATCACTGTCTTGCTGGAAGATTCACCCATGGCCAGTTCCAGTTTCCTGGCTGAGGCAGCCAGGTTTTGATTTAATATCTGCTGGTCCATGATACTATGTATCCATGTAAGTTGTCCAGTTGTTCCAGTAACATTTGGGAAACTGCTCAACAACCTTTTGTCACACAAACATTGCTGTCTTCTCTGGTTTTTCTCTTCGTGATGGGTTACTAGGGGAGTTTGGTCTGTGTGTCACCTCATATTCATTCCCCAGCGAAACAGGAAGATTCAAAATTTCTAGAAGTGCCAGCAATTGTGGCACACATATATTTGAGAAAAATACTGATTTCATAATAAGATTTAAGTTGAAGTTTTTCCTTTCAGTCACTGTACTACAAATAACGGTCAGATTTTTGTAAATATTTTCAATGAAAGATCAAAAGAATAATCAATAAAGAATGTTTTTACAGCCTGTTTCGCTCATGTTTACCATGTGTAACACTAAAATCTGTAGAGAAAAAGGCCTTTTAACTTTGCTCCCTGTAGAGGATGTGTATTTTCACTTAGAAACGTATTTAAACTTCTGCATATGACTGTATTTTTATTTTATCATTAGTGCAACAACATTAATCCTTGAGATGGGTTTGTCTTATGTTATGCACACCTCTGCAATGAAATCCAAAATAAATTGTCCTTGAGATGAAAATCAGAACAGCAGAAAGCATTAATTGTTCCTGTGACATTTACTAGGCTAACCTTTTACAAAGTGGCAGACTGCATAAAACTTGTACACAGCAGATCAAGAAAGAAAAAGAAAGGGGGGGGAAGCAAAAACCAGCATCTAAATGGCAAAAAGGCTTCCTCCCTAATTGGACTCTTACATAAAGCATTTATCACTGGAATACAAGATGAGGAATAGCTTTTACTTGATCTTTATTGTTCTGCTCAGTTTCACCTTGCAGTTCTCATGTTAGCAATGCATTCTGTAGTCATCTATTACTCCTGAAAATGCATTTGAGCAAAACCAGTATCACACTTGTATGCTGAGTCTGAAAATAATGCGTGAATTCATCATAAAGCTTGTATTTTCATGTTCAGCTAACCAAAACAAACAAAAAAACCCACACCATTTTACAGTATACTCTGAGGACAAAAAAAACAAACAAAAAAAAACAAAGGCAGGTTGTTTGAAGAGTTCCGTTGTGCATTGTGAAAGTGAGAACTGAGGAGGAAGGAAGGCAGTGATATGATACAGAGAGAAGAGGAGGTGATGAGTAGTGTGACATTCTTGGGCACCAAGAGTATCCCTTTAAGCCTATAACACCCACAGGTTTTGGCCAATCAGGTCACACTAGCACATGACTTGTACAATCTCAGTATGTCCAAAGTAATTCACACATCATTCTTCTGATGCCAGCCACACGCACCTACATACACCAGCCCTTCCATGTCAAATCACCTGAAGCAAGGAGCTTTTGAGATCACCCATTACAGAACTATATGCCGCTGCATAAGGGCATGGGGCAGTGGGGGATAATGGATACAAAGCCAACAAAATTTGTAATAACATCTTTGTGCTGGCATCTTTTAACTCAATTTCACAGTTTTAAGAAAATTTAACTGAACTTCACACACTGCAATTTCCCTTTAACATAATATTTTCCCAGGCAACATCTCAACTATATGCACATTAGATGATTAATGGTGTTAATAAATCATTTGTTTCCATCAGAAATATTTAATTATTTAATTGACCTGCTTTATGTTTTCCATAGTAAGAACTTAAGTTCATCAAGATGAGGGCAATATCATTTATTAGCAACTAACAGTCTTGGTAACAGAAAACGCCAAAACACTGCAATGAAATCTAATAACGCTCTTGAATTTTCCACATTAACCATCTGTTACGAAACTACTGACAGCTGAAGGACATCACTGAAAATAAAAGTACCCTTGCGATTCTTTTCACATTGCAAACATGCTCAAATAACAGTGGCCTCAAGGATTTTGCGACAGGTGATATCGAGCCCCAGCAATTTGACATAGAAAGACTCGGACACACAACCCTTTGTCACGTCTATTGCTTCTCAAACAGTAAGCCATAAACGACAATATTCGAGGAAAAAAAAAAAATATATGAATTTATATATATCTCTATATATATTCTATATTCTCTGAAACAGCAGGATTAAAAGCTTATAACAACCAAATGAGTGATAAACTGCAGGGTGAAGCAATATTGATGCAGTCTCCATAAACGTCTATCAGAGCATGTGAGTGTGTGTGTGTGGAAGGGGGGTAGGGGTGTAAAAGGTGCAAAAAGCCATCAAGCTCCAAACCTTTCCACACAGGTTATGTAGTAACGTAGCAATTCCTCCAAACTTGTTCCACATGCAATCATCAGTCAAGGAAAATCCTGATTAAAGCCAGTGATGGTCCATACCCCCGAAGTTGAGGGGTAGCAGTGGTCTCACATTGCCCAGCTGATCTGTTGTGCTCTGGGCTGAGGGTCATTGAACTGCCACTTGCCCAAGTTCCCATCCGTAGCCGATTAGAAAAAGGCACCACAGCGCTTACGGGCGTGCATTGCCCCAAACATCAGTTTCAACAAGAACACGAACAACCACAAAAAAAGCGCAAAAATCGGTCTTTATTGTTTGATGTGTATTTTGATTTGTGATGTGTTTTCTAACGTTGAAGTTCTTCTCTTTCCCTCATGTTTAAGCAAAAGTGTTTGCAATCCCTTTGGACTGACTGCTTTTTCCATTGTACTTCAAATCATTACTGGTGGCCCAATCATTTTCTCTGTTTCTTACAAAAAAGGAAATAAAAGTATGAAGGGTTTCTTCCGAACAGAGGAATCTTTTAAGGGGTCAGGCCCTCAGATTGGGCAGTTACCAGGGGTCCTCAAGGTCTGCACCATTCTATAGAGAGAGCAAAAAGAGATGTAGCAGAGAGAAAAAAAAAAAAAGAGAGAGAACAGAGTGATTAAACATTTTTTATTAAAACGATTACTGATTAAACTCCAGTGCAGAAATGTATCCCATCCTTAGTTATGTAACAGTCTCATAAAGCACTTTTACTGTAGATGAATATTTTGTACAATGTTAAAAACATTTGTGGGGACAAAGCAAGTCATTAGGGCCATCCTACAAGTAGAACACACTGGGATATCTGTGATGTAAACCACTGCTGGCAACACCTCCTGTAGTATGTGGAGCAGAACTGATGAAGTTTATGAAGAAAAATGAAGGACACCAGCCCAATGTTCCCTAATTCACTACAATCTCACAACTGCTGATATAATACTACCTCACAACCTCTCGTCTGACTGTGAACCTCTACACCAACACTACACCAATTCAAAGACTTTTCAAGACACCTCAGGATCACTCACTGAAATTTTAGCTCTTTTGGAAAAAAAATAAAAAAATTCAGCTCCTCCAAAAGATAATAGCAACTTCCTGATAAACTAGCCAGTTAAAAAAATACCCTAATTCTAAAGCAGTAACTGACTTTTCTTCCTTCTATAGGAAGCATGATTAGGTGTTAAACTTACCAAATGAAACAGGAGGGCTGCATTAATCAAGAAGTGAACACAGAATTAGAAGAGACTAAAACGCGTCTGGGTGTTGGCTAATGAGAGACAATGCCACTCCATGGCAAGGCCTAAACTGTGAGTGTCTTTCATGCATGCATTAAAAAGAACATGTCTGTACACATTGCTATGTTGGATAAACTAAAAAAAATCTGAAGTCTACTGCTAGTGAAGGCCAGCCAGGAATACTGGTTACTATGACTGTATACCAGACAAATCTGTAGTTTGTATAGTGTGTGTATCCAAAGGCTGCACAATTTAGATGAATGAGAATGAATGTTAATTGTCTAAAAACCTCAATTCCAAAAACAGTTGGGACAATGTGAAATGCAAATATAAACAGAAAGCGGCCATTTCCAAATCCACTGTGACCTATGCTTGAACAAAAATAGTAGCAAGACAAGATATTTAATGTTTTACTATATCCACTTTGTTGTTTTTGTATATATTTTTGTATATGTTTGCTCAATTTAAAAAGTATGTTTGCAACAGCTCATCTGAAATGGACTGATGCACAATGGAAACATGTAGTGTGGTCTCCCAGGTCAACTTTTCAGACCGATTATGGGAATTATGGACATTCTGTTCTCTAGGCCAAAGAAAAAAAGGTACCAGTGAGATAATTACTAGCATAATAAAAGTTCAGAAGCCAGGGTTTGTCATGGTATGGGGACATATTAGTGCACATGGTATGGGTAACTTGTAGATTTGTAAAGGCACCATTAACGCTTTAACACACATTTTGGAGCAAAATATGCTGCCTTCTAGACAATGTCTTTTTCAGGAAGATCAATACTTATTTCAGAATGACAACACCAAGCCAAACTCTGAGTGTGCAGGTGCTAAACTGGCCTGCCTGCAGTCCAGAACTGTCTCCCACTGAAAACAAGTGGAGCATTATAAAGTGTAAAATACAACAAAGGCCCTGTGCGGTTGTGCAGCTGAAGACTTGTACGTTAGAAGAACGGCAAAAAAAATTACACTTTCAAAACTGGATCAACTGGTGTTTTTAGTCCCCAAATAATTATTAAGTGTTGCAAAAAGGAAAGGTGATGTAACTACGTTAACATGCTCCTGTCCCAACTTTTTTTGGAACATGTTGCAAACATGAAATATGGAATGAGTGTTTATTAAAAAAAATAATAATAATAATAATAATAGTAATAAGATTCATAAGCAAAAAACATCAAATATTGTGTTTTTGTACTGTTTTCCTATATAATACAGGTCAAACAGGATGTACCAATCACTGCTTTCAGTTTTTATTAGCATTTCACATACTGCCCTAATATTTTTGGAAACTAGGTTTATATTTAACAGAAGATTCTCTATTAATCTTGTGAATTAGGCTGCATGAACAGCTGTGATCTGTAACTTACCAAACTTTCAATAGCAGTGTCTGAGATTGCTCAGCACACACCATAAATCTTGCTTTGAGACATCTGTTCAGTACTGCAGCAGAGGAATAGCAACAGCTGACTGTGATGGTGCAGATAAATATATATATATATATATATATATATATATATATATATATATATATATATATATATATATATATATATAAAAAGCAATTTCAATTTATAGAGGCCAGTAAAACAACTGTGCAGCCCTAGCGTATGTGTAAGTTCTTTTCTCTCAGTGAATGTGGTAGCAAATGCATACAGGGAGGGGGAGACAGAAACACAACAAATCGAGTACAGACATAGTGTACTCGGACCAACACTCAGACTAAAGCACAACATACCTAAACTACTTAGCACGTCACACAATAAACCAGACCAAGGCAAGGAAACATCATCCTCTAGACACAGAGACTGTCCAAGAGCCCAGATCACCAACACATTAACTCACTCACACTCTCTCTCTCTCTCTCACATGCACACGATCTCTTGGATGTCAAATAAGGGAACTTTTAAGACTAACAGTCCAGCTGTGACACAAACACAGAAATCTATCATTCAGTTTATATCAGACTGAAAAGGATTCACAGATGAGCTCAATCTCAAATGGCTCCCTACTCATTATATTGGAGGTCTTTAAATCAGACCTTTAGACCAGTTTCCTTTCCTGGATTTTGTAATCACTGGTAGTTAACTTAAGTGTTGACACAGCTGAGTGGCCACCTAGTCATACCTACTAATGTCACTCACTAGTAATTACAAAATCCAAGACTGGAAACTGGACTCAAGGTCCAGATTTGACGACTTCTGCATAGGGCACTATGCAAATTATGAATTTTGGCTTCTTCACCCAAAAAGTGCAGTACACACCAACTGGCCACTTCATTAAGTACACCTCCTTGTATCTACACTATTTGTCCATTTGATCAGCTCCAAAGACCATACAAGAACACTTCATAGTTCTACAACTGCAGACTGTAGTCCATCCTTTGTTAGACCCTTTTACTCTGTTCTTCAATGGTCAGGACCACCACAGAGCAGGCATTATTTGGGTGGCTGATCAATCTCAGCACTGCAATGACAATAGCATGGTGGTGGCATGTTAGTGTGAGTTATGCTGGTACAAGTGGATCCAATACAGCAGTACTGCTGAAATTTTTTAAACACTGTGTCCACTTACTGTCCACTTATTAGACACACCTACATTGTCGGTCCACTTTGTAGATGTAAAGTCAGAGACAATAGCTCAACTGTTGCTGCATGGTTTGTGAAAGTTATCTTTTAGGCCTTCACCAATGGTCAAAGGACCCTGCCCACATGCTGGATATTTTGGTTGAGGGACTATTCTCAGTCCAGCTTTGAGACAGAGGTGTTTAAAAACTCCAGCAGTACTGTGTCTGATCCACTTGCACTAGTGCAACAAACACTAACACAGTGCTGAGAATAATCCATCACCCAAATAATACCTGGCCTGTGGTGGTCCTGACCATTCAAGAATGGGGTAAAAGGGGGATAAAAATGTAGAAATGGTAAGTGGAGCTGATAAAATGGAGAATAACTTTATGAAGTGGCTGGTATGTTTATGCCCAGTATTAAATTGCACACAGGTTAAACATATTTGGGTGCAGGAGCCGTTATTTTAAGACATACACAGTACACTATGTAAAGAGTAGGGAGCCTTTTGAAACTCAGCCATAGACTTCTTTTGAGCTTAAACCCACTACATCACTGAGGTTTCCCCAGTATGCAGTGCAAAAAGGCAACTTGTCATGACCACAAACTCAAAAGCATCATTATCATCATGAGACACAGTTTAGAAGAAACAGCTTAAAAAACACAATAATCATGCCCTGACACTATGTACATTTGTTATGTATTAACTGGGGGCAGTCTGAAATCTTTACAAGAAGTTTTTCTTGTTGGTGATCTCAGCCTTTGTGCTTTGTTGCAGTAGCCCAGTGGGATTAGCTCACCACAGCTGCGGGTGTGTTTTGAACTGACCGTGTGTGCTTGCTGGACTAAGTGCGTGACGGAGAGGGAGGTAGCCGCAATGTGACTGATGGACTCGGGTGAGGTCTCATGATGAGATGACTAAAAACAACCTGAAGTGGAAGAGGGACCAATCTACAGAGCACATACACTCACTCCTAGAACTTTTGTATTGCTACATATGTTTTGACTGACCGCGTACTGGGGGGATCAAAATATAACAGCAGGCCACTCACCCCATCTTCTTCTCTTTGGGGATTGAGCCGGTTATACACAGCCTCGATGACGCTGTGCCTGCGAGGAGAAAACGCATACACAAACACACGGGGAGAAAAAGATTGTTTTTGCTGAAAACAAATGCTTATAAAAACATACTGTTTAATGGGGCATTCTCAAGTTACATAATTTTTTAATAATTATGAATTATTCCAGAAGGGTAAATTAGCATATGGCAGCCATATTACTTAAAAACTCAACATATTTTTGATGATTATTGAGATTCAGGCTCTTTTAAATAAATAAAGTAAATTTTTTGATACCAGTTCCAAGAGGACTGAGCAAAAATCCTAGGACTAGTTTGCAAAAGTAGGTTTCGCATATTATGCAAATATGCAAAAAATCTAAGCAGGTGGAGCTAAATGGTCCAAATTGCAAAGCAGTTTATTTTGACCGAAGGAATCTAGAAAAATGAATTTTATCTCTAAAAATTTTGGTTTAGGAGTTAGAAGCCATAATGCGTTTGTCTGCACTATGATGCCCTGCTTTGGCCAATCAGCGTAATTTTTTGTTTTCTGGAAAGTTGCACACAAACTACACCTACCCTCCAAGTCTGGTGTCTGTAGGACTTACGATGTCTTCTGCACAACACATTTTTCATGAGAAAAAGTATAATAATAATAATAAGAAGAAGAAGAAGAAAAATCCTGGCAACTACAATAGGGTTCTATGCACTGCGTGCTTGACTCCTAATTAAGATTCATCATCAGTCCAAAAAATCTTAAAATCTCAGAAGTCCGGTTTCAGTGTTAAAATGAAAATTGCCTTCGTTTTTGTCCATTTCCTTTTCCCAGTAAAAGCTTCTGGACAGCAACACATCCTTTCAGACCTATAACAGTGTCTTCTCGCAGTGGAAGGATGGACATATATACCTGTGGATTTTTTCAGATCTAAAGCAAGAGTGGAGCTTGATTGTCTCCTAGTACTAGAAGAAAGTTTTAAGTACTGTTCATCTGATCGTGATAGTTTTTGCAGTCTACTCTGTGGTCTATTAGGTCTTGGCTGGTAGAAGACCTTTCTTTGAACTTATTTTTTCCTATGCAAGTGGATTATCTTCTATTTAATCTCATCATAAATATCTCCTTTAGCCATTTCACATGACAGATTTGCTGACTTTTGCACTGTACTGTTCTTTAAGTACTAAAAAAAAAGTGCCATGCTCAAATGAGGTTTTATACTAAGCTTATACTTCTTGTTCACACTGCATTCAACAAACTATTGTTACGTATATACGTTTAGAGCATTTTATAGCAATTTTTAGTTTTATTTTCAGAATATAATGCATTTTCTCAAGAAGACAATTCTTTTAGACAACCCTAAGAAAAATAAATTATATATATATATATATATATATATATATATATATATATATATATATTATATATATATATATATATCTCATAAGCTATAATCAGGCCATCACAGCTCTGATGGCAATGCAGACAAAAGCTATGAATTACAGTGGAATCTACAGTCTGGCGCAGGGTGTGGAAAGGCAGTAAAAAAGGAATGTACAGACATGCACCTCTTCACACCTGAGGTTGATGAACTCTTATACTCTCACATAATCTCTATTTAGATTTCCAGAGAGTTTAACTGGTGTCACTGTGTGTGTTTGTGTGGGTGCGCATGTGTATTTTGCTTACTTGCTGGCAAGGCCTCCCCCTGGTGGTAGGTTTGGGATATTCTCTGTGGCAAGGTTTCTCATGACATGTACCAGATCAGGAATGCCCTCCTCGCCCGCTTTCTCTATGAGCTCTGAGAGAGAGAATAAACAAAAGGTTAAAGGGCACTGAATACAACCACAAGCATCAGAGACTGTGTGACAACCCTGGTCATTAGAACACAAACAAATATCTCTTTAGAGATCGAGACAAAACAGCCAGTGAGAAACAGACATAAATCGCTTTATATGTGGCCTGATATCACTTGTGTTGAAACTATCTTTGTGAATGGTAACTAACAGGACCTAGGAGATGGGAGGGGAGCGGAGGGGGAAAGAGAAAGAGCAAGCGAGCGAGAGAGGGGGGGAGAGAGAGAGAGCGCAAGCGAGATAGAGACAGAACATGTGAAAAAACAGGAAGAGAGAAAATAAGGAAAAGAAAGAGGAGGGAAAACAGTAGCGAGGTACAGTGGGAAAGAAAAAGAGAGAAAGAAGAGAAAGTACAAGGAAAAACAGGAAGAGAAAAAGAGAAAAAGAAAAGAGGGAGAGAACAAGTAGAGAGGCAAAGTAAAAGAAAGAGAGAGAGAGAGAGAGAGAGAGAGAGAGAGAGAGAGAGAGAGAGAGGGAGAGGGAGGGAGGGAGGGAGAGAGAGAGAGAGAGAGAGGCCGAAAGAGAGAAGGGCAGGGTAGTGGGACTGTTGAAGGGAACCCTACGGCCCAGTTGGACTGCTCTGGGCCCGGTGCCAGCTCGATGTTCAGCCAGCACATTCCTCGCCGGAGCAGCAGTGCTGACGACTCCCTAAGGCCCTCTCAGCACCCAGCCAAACATCACCACAATGTTACGCCAACCTTGGCCCAACACTCAGGGCCATGAGTTTACATAACCTGCAAAACTGCACTAAACTCGCAGCCGCTCGTCAAAGCATGTACAGCATCCAGAAAGAAAAGAGAAAGCCGGAGGAAAAGAGAAGGAAATTAAAGAAACAGTGTCGAGCTATTGAAATTTTACACAAGAAAATAGGGAGAGGACAGACGGAAGGGGAGACAGGGAAGGGAGCACAGAGACAAGGAAAAAAAAGAGAAGGGAAGAGAGAGAAAAAGAGAGAGCTTTTTCAAGATGATCCGGGATTTAAGCGACAGTACAGATCACTTAAATCATCCGCTAGCCTAATTTTTCATTCACAGCTAAACATGTGAAGGGAGATTTGTATCAAAAAAATGGTTTGAAACCTTTTCTTTTTTTACCTTATTACAACATTTCTGTCAAACAAACTAAGACTCACCAATCTTAAATCTAAAAAGCCACTGTAAAGACTTAGAAAATTCATCAAAGTGCACAATCTAGCCAGTCTGAAAAGGATCATACTGACTGTTTCTCTTAAAGACAAAGTAGGTATTCAGTATCTTGGAAAGCATGTAGAATTTTAAGCTGTTCATAGTAATGACAGCACTGTTGTGATACAAGTGGTCAGCTGACCTCATGATAGAGCGCATGTCCAAAAGGTGGGTTGGCGGGCTGGCTGAAGTGGGTAAAGGAGCTTTGGGATAGTAGCCATAAAGAAATCTTACACTGAATGCATGTTACTGGCACAACACAATTCAGAATCAAAGATGTGTGAAAATTTCAATAGCTTTACTTTAGATTTTTATTAGAATATTTGGTATCAGACTTAAAGAAATGGTGTCAAAAAAAGTCAAATTTACCCCAGATGTTCAGTGCCCAATTTTTTTTTAGCTTTGCACTGGAGCTAAAAGGCTAATGTAGCTAACAAGCCATAGAAATGTAGGAATTTAATAAAATAGCAGGGACAGACTGTATTTACAGGTTTTAGTGCCAAGTGACATATATATTATCGTCCGCATAACTTCCAGCTCTCAGTATAAATTTGCATTCAAACTCTTGGATGCACTGTGAAACTGCCGTAAAACATCACTGGAGTAAACATGACCACTGCGTTGGCAATTTGTTAGCACAGTAGGCTACTAGGTCAGGCTTGCTTGCAGACAGTTTAGTACTTCTGATTGAACAAGCTAAAACAAAAAGACGCCCACAATGAGGTCTTGTATTCCAGAATGTAACAACAGAAAAAGAAAATACTTGAGCAGTCTTGTACATTGCTACTGATTTCCTAGCGATGCTGAATCATGTAAACTATGACTTCTGGCCAAGAACACTGACTAGCAAGAGAGTTGTTTAACAAAGATATTAAAATCTCAGGGTGTACAGTGATCATTTTTCAACCCATAATTACATCACATAATGAAGATACCCCAGTGTGGTATTCTCAAATCTACTGCTGTTCCATCTAATTTTTAATGGGACAGCAGCAGTTACTTCCAAGCACTGAATTTGTGGTAAGCACGGTTTACTTTTGTCTACATTTTTGTTGTGCTTTTTGTTTTACCATAATGCTGTAGGTAGTTAGCAGGCTTGCTAGATGTTACTTAATGCTTCGATACATGCAATATATGCTTAGTTTCTTTGCTGTAGCCTATGTTAGCCTTCTACTCTGTATGCCGTGAATTTAAGCAAACCCACGTGTTATTTACCTTCTTGTCTACAAGGAATACCAAATGGCGCCAAGGAAAAAGTGATTCCTATAATCCAAAATGGCTGCCCTGATAAAGTTACAGCACTCAGCTACACAGTGAAGGTTTGTTCATTTTTATAGAGTACACCAAATAGGACAAATACTGTGTACTAAACCACACTGGCAAATCTTCTTGACTGAGCAACTGTTTGGTTAAGTGTAAAATTGTACATAATTTTTTATCACATCAGTCCTTCAAGGTCCCAAAAATCTTTTGAAAATACATTCTTTTTGGTCAATTTGAGTTGGAACAGACATATTTACACTGTTCAAGGAGAATATTTTAACACAGGTAACACTTTAATTAAATAGTCCACTGCAGATGAAGATCTAATATATAACTTTATATCTGTAGAAATCTCTATCACTAAACCGAGCCTTAGACCTAACCATAACCTTATCTTCAATCCAAAACTTGAACTTAACTCTAATCCTGATTATAACCCTATAAAGTTACTAATCCTAACCCTAACCAGATATATTAATAATTTAAACGTCTGTACATAATCTGCTAGTGACTCTGCAAATAAAGGGGGACCTAAATACATACAACAAGGTTTCTAAGCATGGACGCCACCATCAGTTAACTTCCTTGTAATAATGCAGCCATTACGGCTAAGACATCAGCGATAGTGTTGCTGCTTGTGACTTTTTGTGAGTGTAAAGGATAAAAAAAAAAATAAAAATTAAAAAAATAAAAATTAAAAAAGAATAATAAAAATCTCACCTTCTACACGTGATTCAAGAAACTTATCCAGCTCTGCATCTTTCTTCACTGCCTCCTCTGACACTTTGGGTGCATTTGGCAAACACACTAACACAACACTCATGTTGTCTCGGCTTCCCTGAAGAGAAAGAGAAAGAGAAATTTCCTCCAGTAATCCCAAAAACACCACAATACAGGACAATTCAAGTGAAAACCAGGGCCCAGGACTAACTGCCGAGTTAGCTAGGGTAATCCTAAAGGCAGAAATGCCCCTGTACCTTGTGTAGACACGTATCCACCACCTCATTGCAAACTTTCTCCAAGTCATCCGACACCTCCAGCCTAGCGCGGACGAAGGCGCACAGCTCCTCATTGCTCATCACGTCCCAGATGCCGTCGCAAGCAAGCACCACAAACTCATCTTCAGCCTCAGAACGCACAATCTCAAACACTTCGGGCTCAGGTGATACCAGCTGCTCCGTGGGGCCCTTTCCCTCCACGCACTTGTAGTCATAATCGCCAAGCGCCCGTGACACAGCCAGCGAGCCATTGACCCGCTGGATCATAACGGAACCACCGGCATTCTGGATGCGCTCCTTCTCACGTGGGTTGCATGGCTTGTGGTCCAGCGTGGAGAAGCAGACATGCGCATTTCGACACAGCAGCGCCCGCGAGTCGCCACAGTTAATGAAGTACATGTGCTCGGGCGAGAGTAGCACGGCCACGGCCGTGGAGCCGCTGCGGTCCATACCATTGCGCAGGTCTGTGAAGCTGCGCATGTGCTCGTCGATGCGTAGGAAGCCGGCACGAATGCCGCTCTTCACCGCCTCCACAGCCGGCGTCTCAGGTGATGGCGCGCCGGCTCGCCGTAGCTCATCCGCGGAGCCGGCCGCTACTATGTGCTCCAGCAGATGCTTTGAACAGTAATTGGCTACGCGTGAGCCAGCGTGCCCATCGTACACAGCGAAGAAGGACCAGTCATCCAGGCCGTGGGGGAGGCCCACTGTGGCTGTGTGTGCATCCTCCATCTCCACCCGCCATCCCTGCATGCTGCTTAAGCCATAGCGCAGGCCGTTGCCCTCTCCATGTGCGTTGTGCTTCTCTGTCTTGGGCTTGTCCAGGAATGCCCCCATGGCTCAGGTCACCGTCTAGGGCACAGAAACAGAAAGTCTGATCAAAACATTAATTTTAGTATGGCACAGTATTAAAGTCAGAGAGAGCACACACAAACTACACTGACATTTTTCTCAGGAGCTGTGAAATAGATTTCATTTTTCACCGATAGACATTTAAGTCGTTATATTAACATTCTCTGATAAAATTCACTATAATTCATTATTTTCTTATTTGAGAAGAATGCAGTCCGAATTATTTAAATGACTGCTGTGAGACACATTTATCTTTTCATTTGTTCAATACTGTATTAAAATTGTTACACCCTTAGTTGCTACTCAGAGTTAGCTGAGCTCAGCAGATAGCTATCAAGCTCTTCAAGTAACATTCAAGGACAGTCTGTGAAAGCAATACACAAAACGCTAATATTATCATACTTCAGTATTATAAACTTTACAAGTCTCCAGCTGAAGCTGACAGCAGATGAGTGGAATTTAAAATGGAGTGCTGACAGCTGAACCACTGCTGTAGAAAGCCTGAAGAACCAACAACTACATGGACAGCCAGTATCTGCGGTGGTGGTATGGGCTTGCCAGAACAGACCTCCCCGAGCAAGTTAGGTGCTGTCTTTAACCAAAATTGCCAAGTACATTCAAAACAGGTTCGCATTAAACAATAACTCCTCATTCCAATTACAGAATGATCAGCTTACCCTGCTCATTTTAGTAAACTATACAACAGATAAATAATAGCTTCGTACTCACTTCAAAGATTTTTAGACATACAAAGCAAAAAAATTTGACGCTTTATTTTTAACTTAGAAAGCAGTACTTCAAGGCTTTGGCTTAAATGTTTAAAAAGCGTGAACTGGCGAAGCTAAACAGCTGTAGTCTAAATTTGTTAGTTTTAGTGACATCACAAAACACTGTTTTTGCAGCCTACTTTCCCTATATGAACTGTATGGACCTCAGTATATTTTGAAATGTTAACATGTTGCATCAAACTCTCTTTACTTAAGCTCTTTTATTTAAGAGGAATATTCAGTATTCCATGATATGGGCTCTCTAGGTGTATAGGCTACCAGCTAACTCAGATCCTAAAACAGCTGATTTCTTAGAAAGTACAGAACACATGGTTAATTTTAGTATAGCATCAATTGTGTACCCTCAGAGTTAGGAATCATACTGAGAACTACATAGAGTGCAAATGACTTCCACACTCAGCCCACAACGTCCCACGCTGGGCTGGAAACAGTAATGAACATGAATATAGAAAGATTAGACTTGCTTCCCAACAGAAGGTATTCTATTAACACAGAACTGAAAAGCTCTGAGTGAAATAAACATGTTGAGGTTCTTGGCTCTGAAGCCATGGAGTGGGTGTACCTTCTGAAAATCAACACACTGTGAGCCTGATAATCCTGCTGCCTCTGCAGAGCTGCTTTAGTTTTTCAAAGATGTCAAGAACTACACTGCTCAAGCAGTTCAAGCTATCGAGAACAAAAGATAAAGTTCATGAGTAGGAGAAAAGCTCTGGGTATATGAGCTTTAAAAATCACACTACCCCTATACTTGAATATGTAACACTCACAATCTCTATGTTTCTATTGCTCAAAGCAAAACACACCTTCATTCAATATTTTACCATCATACAGAAATCATCTGAATTCCTGTGTAAATTCATAGAAGCCTATTCTAACAATTAAAAGCTATTTTGGAGAAGGTGCTTGTGAGAATGGCTGAAAAGACTTTTCACAGAGATGGTACAGTACCTCCTATATTTCTTCTTTAAAACACAACTAAGCTTTAAAATGAGTTCTTTTTAATTGAAGCACTTCACAGCCTAAAACAGGCATGTCAACCTGCAGACCTTCTGGGCCAAAGTGCAGTGGATATTAGCGTGTACCCTCATCTAACGCTCTCAATTCAATTCATGAAGGCCTGGCTAATTAGCTGATGAGCTGAATCAGGTGGGTTTAATGAGGCAGTGTGCTGAAGTATGCAGCGTTTTGGCCCGCAAAGACGGGAGCCTTACGCATGTGGTCTAAAAGTACACACTTAAAAATGATGGTTTTTCAAGGGTTCGTTAGTAAAGAAAATGATTGTATATAGACTCATGAACACTCAAAGAACCCTTTGCATGATTATATGGTTCTTTGCATTGGGAAAGGGTTCCTGTTGGATATGGTTCTACATAGAACCTGTTTGAAAAAGATTCTATACAACACCAAAAAAGGTTCTATATAGCACCAAAAAGGGTTCTTCCATTGCTATGATGTCAAGCTTGCAACAATAAAAGAACCCTTTTGGGTGCTATATAGGCTTGTGCCCTGTGATGGCTAACTGAGTTACTACACCAACAGTCCCCATGATAGTAAAAACTCATTTATTGCCACTTTACTTATTAAATTAACTCATGCAAACCACAGCAAAACTCCTGCCTGAACATAATTTAACTCAAACATTTTGGGTGATGTGATATCCTACATTAATAGCACATGTGTTGTAGCTAGAAGAGATAGTTCTTTAAATCAGGCTGTTGGTATGTGCTGGTTGAATGCGCTCAGGCAGATATCGTACCTCAAGCAGCTTATGGCACAGTGTGCATTTTAGGACATCCTCAGACCAAAGCATCAGACATCACAGGAAAAAAACATCATGTCTCATCTCTCATACAATCAGGCTAAGCTAAGCGGCTACAGATACTATAGCACTGAAGCGTAAACTTTGGGGAACATTCACAATTCTGTTCCTTCTTCCTGGATCAATTACAGTTTCATGGCCAAGTTAAAGATGACAACATAATACAGCCACAACGTTTACTGAACTGTGTTGTTATTATGTTCTTTTAGTTGAAAGAGATGATAAAAGAAGTTTCAAATGGTAACAGTTTGTCTGCTTGAAAGTCAAGGCTTGTCTTAAAATTACTGGATGAAAAAGTATTTATTATTAGTAGTAGTTGAGGTTGTAGTAGTATCTCTAAGTACATCAGCTGATGCATCAGTAATGTTTCTGGAAGCACTAGTGATTACAACAACAACAACAGCATCTATTATTATTATCATTATTTCAATGCAGTAATTCTGAAATGGACCTTCATTCTGAAAAGTATGCAGGAATAAAGTGACAGCGTGCAAGTAAATGCTTAATCTTTGTCAATTAAAAAGTAAAGCAAAGATAAAAGAATAACCCCCAGTTTAACCCTAGTTCAACCCCAGTTCAGCCCAGTTTAACTGTGTACCGTGGTTATTTTCCCAAACAGTTATTCAAATAAGAGGATTCTGTTATCGGCACCGGCCTGCTCAAACACTCTACTACAGATTTGTTACATGACTGTACTGGATTAATTTTTTTGTCCCTCCGAAATCCAATCCAGGATTTTCTTCTGATATCAGCACAATACAGAAACCCATCGAAGCAAATATGCCATCTCTGTTTAAAGTCAGGCATACACTTTGATCTTAAAAGTCTTGTTCTTTGGTTTGCTCAGACTGTATGAAAACGCTCAGTCCGATTGACACTAACATTTCCAATAAAGCAGTTTCTCCCAAAATGTCCCAAAACTTTGGGAAAGCAAGCAACAGCAGGTTTGCTAACTAGTGCCATACTGTGTATTGAAACAAAATCAGGAGATAATGTACATAGGGATGGTGTCTCTACAGTCTGTTTTACAAAGACAATTAACAAAAAAAAATTTATAATTAACATCATTGTCTTAACTGTTATAACTTACAAATCCATTCAGTCAAGCTGACACTGAAATTCAGATCATCAATTCTGTGTGAACCTTATTAGTGCCAAAGCTCAGTTATCTGCCATTTTATCTTCTGTTCATTCAGAACGGAAAGTGCCACTGTAGCAACTGCTAGTCTGGGTGTAAAAGAGATTAAACGTCTCACTCAGCAGGAAGACAAGATTTGCTCTATTGTAAAGCTCATGCCAAGTTGGGGTGTGTACAGGCTGTCTAGACATATTCCCATGGGTATTCCCAGGTGAAATGCATTTGAGAACTAAATTTGGGTGCATTTTAACTTGAGTATGCTACACTGCTTTGCCATAGGGGTCACAAGAAGAGGTGTGAAGGTACTGGAGGACACATTACCTATCAGTGATACTTTATACAGAATGGAATTAGATGAGGGGTGGCCCATATGATCATTTTTAATGTTATCATTATAATTAACATCACAACATACTTGTCTGAGCATGACATAGATATCATCAGTACTTAAATAACACTGAGCCACTGCGCAATTAGTACATACTTAGTTCTGTTTTGGATTAACTGTAGTGTGATACGTGAAAGGCTGAACAAAACTCACTGTATACATGTATCTGTTTTGTGATTGCATTTTTTAAAGTGGCACTACTGTTGCTTTTTATCTGTATCAACTTATCACACAAAAAAAAGTCTCCCTAAACAAGGCAAACAAAATAGAGAATCTATTAAAACCTCTTCATCTAGCAGACAATTGACAATACAAAGATTTTTAGTTTTCTAAAAAATACATAATAGTCTATAATAGTCATATAATATGGCTGTGTAAACAACAAACTATCAAGTGTCTTTCTCTGAGAAGTCTTACTGTAGTAGAAACCAAGTTAGGCCTGACAGCAATGTATTTTTTTTTAGCATCGAGAATACTCATCAGACTGCAATGTACTCTTGCCTTTGCCAATCACACAGTGCATGAACTATAGAGTGCAAATTACATGATCTTAAACAAGGTATTTATCAAGATTTTACCTCAAGCTAACCATGCAGGGTGTCTATGGCTGACCACCATAAAAGACTGTACAACCCAAGTTTTACACCAATGGGGAAAATAAGTTAGCCATGCTGGCATTAGCACAGTGACCTCAGCATCACTGTTTTAATTCCAATAGTGCAAACAGCAGAGTTCTGGAACTTGGAGCTCACTGCCAGCCAGCAGTGTAAGCAGGTCAAGCACATTGCCAGCTCAGTCACACCACAGCCCTTATTGTTCACAAGGGCAAGCTTCAACCGCTGAACAGAACACAAGTGTGGAGTTGCG